CCACCTCCCACGTTCTCCTCCTTAGGAGCCCGGTAGCAGGCTGTCCCAGGGACCTCTGTCCAGCTCAGCGGCCCCCCTGATGCCCAAGATGCTCCTCCAGCACTTGCGAGCTCTGCACCTGGGCCCCCGGGAGAATCAAGGTACCAGGTGCCCAGGCGCTTTCGGGCTTTTGTTCTCCTGATGCTGAGGGGGTGCGGTGGGGAATCTCTCCTTCGGGCACCCCTGGAGGGGAGGGGTGACCTGCTGGAGGCTCCTGAGAGGGAGGGGAGAAATGCTTTTTCAAGCTGGTGGCTTTGAGCAGGGCAGATTAACGAGCCCGAGGACCAGCGACGCGAGCTTTGGCTGCACTAGCCTTGGCCTCTCTTGCAGGAAATGGGCTGCTGTGCTGCGAGGCGGAGCTGGACAGCCCTCGGCAGTGGAAGAGAACTGCACCTGTGCCAGCCAGCCCGGCCGCCGAGGTGGAGTGGCCTGGCAAGCTTGTTCTGTAAGGAGCCCTGGGTTTTACATATTTGGGTCACAACAGGGCTGGGGGAAGTGTGGGGGGGGTCGTGGCCAGAGACCTAAAGGCAGTAAAACCACCCCTGGCTCACTGGGGGATGCCCAGGCATGTTGTTGGCTCCCCTAAGGGGGAGGCCCAGATGCCCCTGTTCACCACCCTTGCCTGCCCAGGCAGTTTTTGCTTCAGGCCCCTCTTCCTTTCTTTGGGGAGCTCTTGAGTCTTTGGGCCAGTGAGAATATGGCCCTGATCCCAGGAAGAGAATTAGCAGGGCAAGGGTGGCAGCCTCGATGACCACAGCCCCTCTCTTCCCTCCCTCCCTCGGACAGGGAGCTCGGTCCCAGGAGCAAAGAGCTGGTGCTAAGAGTGTTTGAGGGCAGCACTTCTGGAGAGGGTAAGTCATCTATGGGCAGGACTTGGGCAGAGGGGGTTAGTTGGGCTGGGCCTGGGGGGCTCTAAACTGAGCCCAGATGTTGGGTTTGGTCAGCTCTTCCTTAGTAAGTTCTTATGCCAAGACCTGGAAGAGTAGAGAGAGGGGTGGGCTGTGGCTGAGGTGAGCTGCCTGTCAACAGATGATAGACGGGAGCATTTCTCTTGGGTGGCTCCGGATGGCATCTGGGCAGGGGAAGAGGCTGTGGCTCTGGGCCTCCCACTCTTGGTTTTTTCTCGTAGCTGTGCTTCTGGGATTTGCAGCTGTCCCCATAGACCCCTCCTCCAAAGAACCACGGGGGCAGCAGCTCTACTCGCTGAGTCCAGGGGCTGCCGAGAGTCTGCCCGCAGCAGCAGCCATTGCCGTGGAGGTGAGAGTCCAGAATTCAGTGCTAAAATATGTATTTCATGGTCATCTGACTTGCTTTATGCTTTGAGTTCTGCTTCACTGAACTCTCACTTTCTCACCTTTAAACAAAATGCGTTCATTCTGAGTGCAGGGACGGGAGAAATCCAAATAACAGATACGACTAAATGTTTTTAATGTGTCTGCATGGCTTATTTTTCAAGCCATAAACCCAAAATAAGCCACCTGTCCCGGCCCGGTGGAGAATGATGTCCCGCATCATCCCTCAAAGGTCTCCGTGCTCTTTTTCCGGGTGTGGTGAGCTGCTGGCAGCCAGTGCGATTCAGCTGATAGCTCCAAAGCAGACAATTTAGGATGGCTGAATCTTCCTGTGTGTGTATGTGTACGTGAAGCTGGTTTGCCAGGCATTGCCTTTGCTTTTCTGAGCTGTATTTGGCTGTCTTGGCAGCTGCTCCACCAAGAATTGCCAGAGCTCCAGGCTGCATCCTCCCTGCGCACCAGCATCACTCCCACCAAGAAGATCGAGATGGGCCGTACCATAATGCCCGATGGCACTATTGTCACCACCGTCACCACCATCCAGTCCAGGCCCAAACTGGACTGCAAGCTTGGTAAGCTGCCCTGAGTTCAACCAGCCAGGCTGCAGACCGTCAGCCAGCTGCTCTGTGGCTGCAGAGCGTCCTGTTCACGTGGATCCGGACAGTAATGCTGCTTCCAGCTTGGGCAATAAGGAGGGAGCAATCCTCATGTTGTAGCCCCTGCACAGTGCCAGAATTCCTCTTGAAACAGCAGGCCCCGCCTTCCTTTGGAGATGGTATTGTTCCAGCGCAAAGCAGAGCACCCTCATTTGCACAAGTATCAGTGGTGTGTTTCCCCAGTAGTGCTGAAGGGAGGCCTTCGCCAGATCTGGCTGAAGCTTTGCTGACCCTTCTTTTTCCTGGACCCTAGATTCACCCTCGAGATCTCCATCCAAAGTGGAAGTCACAGAGAAGGTGACCACAATGCTTCCAGAAAACGGCTACACCAGCAGAGCGTCTCCTTGCAGTAGCAGTGAGTCACGTTGTCCAGAAAAGGACCATTATGGGGATGGTGAGAGGGACGGTGCTGCCCCTCCTGCATGGAGACAGACCTTTCTGAAGAAGCAGACCGCCTGCTTCTCTAGTTTCTCGCCAGCTTCCTTCTCTCTGGCCTCAGATGGAACTAGACGTGGGGACGGGAGCCAGTGCTGCCCAGGAGGGCAGTTCGGTGCCTTCCAGATGTTTTGGACTCCCTGACCCTGTGGGTCAGGGGTAAGAGTTCAAAACAACCAGAAGGCACTAGGTCACCCTGAGGAAGTGCTTAGAGCGCCGGATAGGAAGAATTGCTTAACAGACGGTTTAAATCCCCATACAGTTTGCTGAGTTAACTTAGGCCAGCCACCATGTTTTTAGTCTCACTTGCCTCGCTGGGTGGCCTGGAGGAAGAATTAGGTACCACCATGCTTAACATCACCCTGAGCAACCTTGGATACAAAAGATGCCGCTCAGCCTGTGCAAAGCCATGGGAGTTTGCCAGAGCCACCTTGTGGAATTGGCATGTTGGAGCAGCGTGTCTCTCCTCACCCAGGGAGCAGCTGTGTGTCCAACGGCTTGGATCCAGTGGCTGAGACAGCCATCAGGCAGCTGACGGATCTGACCAATAAATCTGCGAAGAAGACCCCAACCAAGCGCAGTACGCTGATCATCTCGGGAGTTTCCAAGGTAACCAGCAATTTGCCTGGTTAAGAGCTGATGCTACTTGCTTATTTTTATTTATTTATTTGACTGGACTTTGTGCCGCCCAGCTCCAGAACCACTCTAGGAGCTCCTTTGTTGAGAAGAACAAGAGCGAGGGGACCGCCACCCCTTTGGCTTTCAGCTTCTCACTGTCCCGTCCCCTGCAGGTCCCAATCACCCAGGACGAAACAGCCCTCTCCCTTGGTTATGCTGTCTCACTGGGGAATCCCATCCAGCAAGATTCCATCATGGCTGGTCTGTCAGAACATACGTCAAGTATCTCTGATCCCATGCAGCAGTTGGGAAGCTCATGTTCACCTCAGAGGGCTAGCCAGGATCTGGACGAAACAACACATTCAGATATCTCCGAGAGACCCTCAGTGGATGACGTGGAATCTGAAACTGGCTCAACAGGTACCCTGGAGACCCGAAGTCTGAAAGACCACAAAGGTGAGGGGTATGTGTGGTAGGAGGCCAGCTTTCTTCCAGAGGGGGACCAACTGGGCCCTCCTTCTCTGTAGGAGTAGCCAGGACTCCAAGGAATCTAAAGCCAGGATTCAGGAGCCGGGCTCCGGGTTATTCTCCAGCCGGGACTCAGGTTCTTGGAGCTTCTGCCACAAGCAGGAGAGCCCAGGGTCACACGGTTCTCCTCTGGGTCACCATCTTCTCCTCCTCCTGCAGTGGGCTTCCTTCGAAGCGGCACCAAGCTCATCTTCCGAAGGAAGAACAAACAGAAGGAGGCTGGCCTCAGCCAGTCCCACGATGACTTGCCCAGCGCTGGCACAGCCTCTGCCCCCAGGAAGAAATCTGGCAGCTTCTCTCGGCGCCTCATCAAGCGCTTTTCCTTCAAGGGCCGGGCCAAGAACAAAGTCAATGGTAGCATGGTATCCGTGGAGAAGCACTGAAGAGGTGCTGCGTCGGCCTCTGTCTCCAGAAGCCCCCCAACCGTTGTTAATGGTTGTCTGCTGTCTATGCGTTGTGGCCCCAATTCTTCTGCCCTCCTGTGCAAAGGGAGTGAAGGCCTTCAGGGGCTGGCCGGCTGGTGGTTGGGTTGGGAAGTCTTGCCAGTAGCCGTTGGGAACAGCATAGCCTCTGGGTAGAACAAGGGGTGCAAAGGTAACCCTCTGAGCACTCCTCTTTTAGCCTAGGTGGGGAGGGGGCATCCCTCGCAGGCTACCTCAGCCTGAAACTGAAATCCAGGGGGGGGTCTCAGAGAAGGGTTTTATGGTGGCTTATCCAGCTGCCGCTGCTCTGCCTGCTATGCACTCTTGGAACGGCAAGGGCAAGTAGCTGGCTTCTTTGGCACCTGCAGGGCTTGGCCAGGTTCACGGGGCCATGACGAGGGGGACAGGCAAGCCAGGCTCTTGGGCATGCCAGGGGAGGCTGGCAGCAGCCCTGAAACACGGCTCCAGAGAATCCTTCCTTCAGTTGCAGAGGCCCTCTGCTTCCTCCGACCCGGCCTGCGTTTGAAAAAGAAGAGAAGGCACTCGGTGGGCGCCGCTTTGGTGGCAAGAAGGCAGCGAGAGAATTTCAGGGCAGAAGCGGTCGTCTTGCTCGGCTTGCTCGACCTCTTCCTTTACAGACTGGGGTGCCCAGTGTGGAGGCGCCTTGCTGAACTGCCCTGTAGCAGGGCACAGAAGCGGTGGGCAGAAAGAGGGCTCCTGCAGAGGACTGTCCGCTTGACTTGGCACTGAAGGCTTTCCCCCAAGAGACTGGACTGCACCACCCTAGCATCCAGCTGGAGGCCACTCGTGACCCCGACTGGCAACGTGCATGAATTTTGGGAGGACGCTTGCTGAGGCTGGGCTGGCCCCTCCCTGCAGGTTCCTGGAAACAGATTGGGGGTGGGGGGAGGGAGGGACGCAAGAAGGAAATACACTCTTGGGTCACCCAGAAGTCAGGACTCAGGTTTTCAGACAATCTTGGAACAGGCTCTGCTGAAACCCCACGTTTCTCATTGGCAGCCTCGACT